AACAAAAAAATTGAAAGGAATAGAATAGAATTATTAAGGTTGGAAAAAGACCTCAAGGATCATCAAGTCCAACCGTCAACCCAACACCACCCAACCCACTAACCCATGTCCCTGAGCACCACATCTACACATTTCTTGAACCCCTCCAGGGATGGTGACTCCACCACTGCCCTGGGCAGCCTGTTCCAATGCCTGATCTCTTTTGCAGTGAAGAAATTTCTTCTAATATCCAGCCTAAACCTCCCCTGGTGCAACTTGAGGCCATTTCCTCTTGTCCCATCACTTGTTACTTTAGAGAAGAGCCCAGCACCCCCCTCCCTGCACCCTCCTTTCAGGCAGTTGTAGAGGGTGATGAGGTCTCCTCTCAGCCTCCTCTTCTCCAGACTAAACAACCCCAGCTCCCTCAGCCGCTCCTCGTCAGCCCTGTGCTCCAGACCCTTCCCCAGCTTCGTTGCCCTTCTCTGGACCTGCTCCAGCACCTCAATGTCCTTCTTGTGGTGAAGGGTCCAAAACTGACCCCAGGATTCAAGGTGCGGCCTCACCACTGGCAAGTACAGGGGCACAATAACTTCCCTAGAGAATTACCTCCTACTCTTCAAAATATTTAAAAATAAAACAGTAGGGGATATAACAGAACATGACACTTCCTTGCACATCTCCATCCCCACCAGTTTCTTAACAATGCTGGTTTTATGTATAAAGGGAACATCTAGTAAGGTAGCAACCAGAGCCAATCCAAAGAGTTTGAGGAAGCCATGAGACTGTTGGCCTGGAAGCTTCCAGTCCTCCCCTGTACCAGTTTTTCTTACTTCCTCACAATGATTTTCTCTTTATCTTCCATGCACATCTTGTTGAGATAACAGGCCAAACAACAAGCATTCTACCGGCTGATGTCTTCCAGCACCCACAAATTTATCAAGGCCCAAAAGCCAGATCTATGGCCATCACAAAACATTCAGACTTCAGCTGTAGATTTCATGAAAAAACACTAGTGCCTTTTCTTGAGTAGGGAATTGACCTGCAGATGAGCCCAAGCTATACAGTTCACATTAACAGTAATCTGGATTTGAACTTGTCCAAAATCTATTAGAGACTGACTGCCCATCTGTAATGGACTGAGCTCCACAGAATCTATGTGAGGACCTAATACCCAATGGATATATTTGAAGATTTACATAAAATCAATAGTTCTGCCTTCCACTTTCCTTTCACAGTTTGAATTGAGGTTCCTAGGGCTTAATTCAATGCCATTTCAGGTACTCTGGACTATCCAACCCACATGGCAGACCATCCCAGATTTCCAGTAGGCTGTCATATCTCTTAGCTCATCCAGACATCAGACACCTTTGGCTATATGAAGGCACGAGATGTCTACATGTCTGCAACTTATTCCCACGCTCTCGGTTTCTCCAGCTACAGCTAATGGCTGTATTTACAACAAAAGTTTGGGAATGCAAATCCCATCTTTGGGTGTGGCTGATACCTCACCGATTGTTGGAGGGAAAATTTGTCTTTAGGGCTCAAATGAGGCAATAACAGGGGAAAAAAACACTGGGTTTCCTATGTAATTTAGTGATTTGCAACTAATGAAT